ATCAGTCTCAGTCTGTCTGAGACTGTGATTGTTTGGAGACAGTGTGCCTCCTATCAGGAGGTGATTAAAAGTGGCCATCCCGCCTCTCTGTGGGAGGTTACCATCCATAACTCTGACTAACATCAGACTCTGCTGTTCACTTCCTGTTTCAGACCAGTAGGAAACATTGTTTATTTTAAACATGATCATCCAGTAACCATTTGTTTATTATTGAAACCAATCAAATTGCTTTAACCCAGCATAGCTAAAACAAAGCTGTATCAGTAGAATCAGTGTATCAGTGAACTATCACACTGTTCACCAAACGCAGCAAACCTTCACCATCTGCTGCCTTTCACACTGCAAACACACACACTTCACCAGCAGGTGTGTTTCTGTGCTGGTTTTCCTCTTTAAAACTCCTCTCTGTCCATCCTGCCTCACATCCATCGCTCCATCGAGCTCAGAAGACCTCGCCATCCTTCAAGTCTCTGAATCTGAACTACATTACCCAGAAGGCCAATCTTCTTCCATGCCGATGTTGATGGGATTATAAATGGGGTCAAACCCCAGGTGTACGGTTGTAACTGCTTTTCTGGAGCTGCTCGCTAACATCAGACTGCATTGATGTAATGATGTTAGCGTGCTGCAGGTCGGCTGTGGGCGGAGACTATGGATGTGGAGGAAAATGACTTGACTCAGACAGAATCAGATTGGAGGGATTTGGGAATTGGTTGGCAGCTGCAGCGCAGCATCAGTGCAGCATTCAATTCAATTCAATTGTATTTATATAGCGCCAAATCACAACAAAAGTCGCCTCAAGGTGCTTCATAGGTACAGAGAAAAACCCAACAATCGAGCATCAGTACTCGAAGTAAAAGTGAGCGAAGCTTTTCCTTCCAGATGCTCCTGAAAGGAAACACAGCAACAGGAAGCTGAAGGTGGAGCCAAATAAACAAATCCAGCCCTCCTCATCCACCTCTGCCCTAAAGAAATGCAAGAGTCAGGCATCGCTGTGTAGCTCATAGTTGGTCACTAATGGACAATCCAGACTCTGGTTGCCAAGGTAAC